GAGGGCTGAGTGAGGGTAATTTATGGTTTAGCAAGTCCTCCAGGTGATTCCAACGCACAGTAAAATTTGACTCTGTAGATCAGTGGCTCCCAAACTGCTTTCCATAAAATTGTTTGACAGCGTACCTCCATCAGTCAGAGCTGGGGCAAGAAATCAGTGAGGTGGCTCCTTAAATTTTGTGCCCCTGTAATCCTGCAATCAGTATTTAAATAATCTAAATGTCACCTACTGTCTTGGCTATTTTAAAAAGATAGATGAAAATTTCTAAAAAGGTGCATATAAATAATAAAGGAAAAAACAAATATGAGTAATTCTCAATCTACACAATCAGTTGCTGAATAATTAGTGCTTGGTTATATACCGTTTGTCACTCTGACTAATGTACTATTCCATGATGACTGTTAAACACTAAAAATAGTAGCTGAACAACTTCACAAGCACTTGCAGAGATTTATCTAATATGCACCATTCTTCTAACATAAAACTTAAATGTACTCTTGATAATAAAATTGTGAGGAACTTAAAATGCAAGGATTTTAATACTTATGATTTTCAGTCTAAAATCTATGGAATCCTGGAAATTCAGTAAAAAAGAAATCTCAGGTTCCAATCCTCCTGCCCACTTCAACCACAGTGGCTCCTCAGATTCAAACATAAAACTTTCCACAAAACAGTCCAGTTATAGACATAGTTATACTGTCAGGGGTGGTTAACATTATAATGATACGGACCAAGTCTTATAGCAATTCCGCAAAGAATGCATAGAAATATTACTACCAACATTAAGTAGACATGATATTTTCTGCCCTCCTATATTAGAATTTATTTTCACTGTGATATGACAACTGACAGACCATCAAGAACAGAGAAGTGGTTCCCAGCCTTTTCTAAACTACAGAAAGTTTAAAATGTTGAGCAAAAGCAGAGTTGATCTGGTTTAAAAGAATGAGCTATGTCTTCCTCTCCATTACATGCTCCTCTGCCTGCTCCCCTAAACCACTATCTTTTCCAGATTGCCCCCTCCTTTCACACAGAAAGACCCGGAAGAACTACTGTGCCAGAGAAAACACTGGAAAAAGATCATAGGAAACAGGAAGACACTGTACACCTTTGCAAAAGAAAAGGGAATCAAGAGATGGTGGGAAGTGGAGAGAAAGGAGAAGAAGAAAACAAAAGAAGAGCGAAGATGTGTCCTGTGCACGCACTACCTCCCCGGAGGAGTGGAGTAATCATGTGCTGCAATGCACTAAAAAGATAAAAGGTGGGGGAGCACCAGCCTTCTGGCTGGCTAGCTTCCTGCCTGCTGGCTCCCGGAGGGTGGGCCCCCAGTGCACGGGGAGCCTCGGGCGGGGAGCGCCGGTCT